TGGAGGGAATACCTTTCAGTTCATGTTCAAAGCTTGAACTGGGTAATGGCCCAAATGAGGGCCCACTGCCCAGTACTATACCAGGTGGAATTCTGAGGCCCCTCGCCTTGTTTCCAATCAGGAGTGATATATAAGCATCCATTGGCTTTGTTCCAATCGTGTTAACAAAATTTTCTTTCGCTTATAGTTTTTTGGACAATAATGGAGGAAAATCCGCCAAAAGATATGCAAGGCAGAAAAGTTAAAAGAATGGTCAGACGCGAGAGAGAGAGAGAGAGAGAGAGAGAGAGAGAGAGAGAGAGAGAGAGAGAGAGAGAGAGAGAGAAGAGAAGAGAAGAGAAGAGTGTGTCCTCCTCTTGTCAAAGGAGGAGCTCCACAAATGGTTAATGGGGACCCCCATTTTCAGGCCCTGGGTAATGGTCTCCACTCTACGAATTGGTGGCAAGTTTGATTAAAATGACCCTTTGGTTTTCATGTAAATGGCATCATGGCAAGTGGTCTGAAAATTAGGGTCTCCGTTAACCTTCTCTCCAACGATTCCCAGTTTCCCAAATCTTTCGATTCTCCAGCGAAACTTGTCTCCATTCCCACTTTCCTCTTTGTAAAGTGACCGCTTTCCCTTTATTGAACTTTCATCTCTTTCCCTTCACAGCGACTGACAACAAGTGATTCAACTACCGGTCTCCAGGCATAAAAACCATGCAGACTGATGCAGTGTAATATATAGCTCAGACCTGCACGGCAGCAGAATTCTGACTGTGCGCACCTGCTATGGAACTACACACAGGTTTTAACTTTTAAGGGTTCAAAATTTGAATCCTTGGCACGTCCAGTGTGTACATAAGTAAGAAAAACTAAGATCCCTTTTGGCAATTTTGGATGGAGAAGGGCCTGAGTACACTACCGTCTTCACCCAAATAGAAAACCCGGTCATTATAGCTGTATTTGACGCAGCTTTCAGTCCAGATACGGACATAATTACCGGGCGTTCTATTCGCGGGTGAAGAAGGTAGCATTATATATTCTAAGTCAATGACGTATGCCGTACTAATCTCGCCAGAAGTAGAAACTTTGTGGGCAACATACGCCGTACTAACCTCGCCAGAAGTAGAAACTTTGTGGGCAAACTGGGAACGCAGATTGGGATTGACCAACTTCTAAATTCTAATTGCATTTCGCGGGGGATGAAATGGCAATACAGCGAAAAATGAAAGGTAGGTGCTGTGTGTCAACACGGTATGAAAAATGGGAAATTAAAAAAAAACGATCTTACCGACGTTAACCAACCAACCACGACTGAAGATTCAAAGCAGATGCTTGACCATTGAAGACCGATACGATCTCTGCGCTTTCAGGCCTTGCTGTGTGCAGAACTGAGTACAAGCTAGACAAGCTCATTGTCAAGAAGTCCTGCTCCATTGATCATAGGTTGAAAATCTCGCCACGCGCACTGTGGATGCCTTACATAAGTTACATTCCCCCCCATCCCCCACCCCTAACCAGACTGCAGAGCTCGTCCGATGCTTGTCAGGGACAGTGACAGCCTCCCGGACGTTTTTTCTCCTGCCATTAGCCACCAGGTTCTTCTACTCGTAACAACATTCACAAAGGCTGCTGACATCGTCTTCTTCATTCCGCTTTTCTTTGTTGTCTCCACACAGACGATGCCCATGCAGGCAGGCCTACCTCTGCCGCAAAACAGATGGCTGACGTGCCAATAACAATCTTCACAAAGACTTCTGACATGTCATAACCATACTGCTTTTCGACGTTCTCCGTAAAGACAATGCCTGTATGCAAGATTGCCTCTGCAGCAACAAAGGGGGGGGGGGGGAGGAAACAGCCCTTTGCGCGATGGAAGCGAACGGCCCTGGGTGCGTACGGGATGTGTTCACAAGCTGTCTCTTATACACATCTAGATGTGTATAAGAGACAGGCAGACGGACGAGCGAGAGCTGGGTGAGGAGGAGGAGGGGGAGGAGGTGTGTGAGGAGCAGCAGCAGGAAAGGATGAGAGAGGTGTCGATGCTCAACGGCGGTTCAACTGATGATGGGTGCCAAATGTCTGTAGAAAAGCGAAAACACCAACAAGAATGGACGAACAAAGGTTTCTCATTTATTCTCCTCATTTATTTGTTGTGTAGTGACGTAAGCCAGGCACAGCTGACTCTGGCATCCTTGGGGAGTACGTACGTGCAAAATGGGCGGCTATCTGCGTGCTGTTCGCCCTCCATTTCCCTGCCCCTAATTTCTTAAACGCTCATCTTAGTGGTAAAGATGAGCGTTTAAGAAATTATTAATGTTTTTTGCTGCAATGTGTATCGGTCTCAAGGGAATGCCGTGCTCCGAAAGAGGGCATACGTTGACCGCAGTACCGTCATACCTCTCACACTAGCACTGTTCCAAATGTCTTTGACTGCAGTACCGTCATACCTGGATGAGTCCGACCACAACTGCGTCCGGAGCTTTAGCAGAAGAAGTCCGAATGTGAGTACGCCTTGAGAAGCGAAGAATGAGAATCATTGCTTATGGTCATGTCGTCCGATTGGTGTTTCTGATGTGGCAGGGAAAAGAGATTGTGTTTTCTGGAGCTCAATGGCGAAGCCACAAACAAACTGAAGTGATGACCAGGCTGGATAGTGCAGCACAACTAGCAGGGCACTGAAGCAGGGGCACAGTTGTTGCCCTTGCGGAACTATCGCCTTCACCATGGCGATGAGTTTGCCGACAAAATGTGGGATGTGTGTGATACATGTTGTCCCACTGTCTTTTCAATGGGGTCTTGAAAGCTGCGCCACAGGACCAATCTCTTGTAGACCTCCTTCTCTCTCTCAAGCTCTCTCTCTCTCTCTCTCTCTCTCTCTCTCTCTCTCTCTCTCTCTTGCGAAGACCACTTTCTCTCTCTCTCTCTCTTTCTCTTGCGAAGACCACTCTCTCTCTCTCTCTCTCTCTCTCTCTCTCTCTCTCTCTCTCTCTCTCTCTCTCTCTCTCTCTTGGGCAGACCACGGTGCGTTGGTGTTCTGCGATGCAATGTGGGCATTGTGTACGATATGTTTGCAAAAAAAATCAGATAAGAATTTATGCGCCAGTTTCAGTTGATCAATAGTGCCGCAGGAAGATGACAATTTCACTTGTCAAGTTGTCAGTAGTTTTTTTTACCAGACTTCAAGACACAGACCTTAAAAGTTCCTCCTTGGCAGCCTGGGCAGTGGTTGGAGGATGTGAGGGAAAGTCTGGTGAGTTGGTAGCGTGTGAGTTTCCTCTTTGTATTTATTATTACGTCAGAGTACATTTTGTAATTATTTTTTCATTACTGCAAGCGACTTCCTGATTTTTAGTGTTGCGTTCTTTCCTTGCAATTTTGCTCTCCTCATCTTTTCCCCTTTTTTGAAGTTTTTTCCTTTTTTTTTTTTTTTTCCTTTTGTTCTTTTTGGTAAAGCAATCACTATTCTCCTTGTAGTTGCCTCCATACTTTTGCCAAATCCTTTCCTTTGAACCACCCCACTACATCCGAGGCTCTTTTGCCGTGGAGTCGTCCCTCTGTGTGGCAAGCTTCACCGAAACCCTGAGTCATGGATGGAGAGAGAGAGAGAGAGAGAGAGAGAGAGAG